AAAAAAGCCTAAAATATTTACTAGAATCAATCAGGTTAATTCTTTGAAACCTGCCAATATCTGAACGCAGAGAGATCAGTTTCTATCATTAGAAGTTTATACGTATCATACGCAAGGTGCATGGGATGAAAAGGGAACTAAGCCCAGCAAAATGAGCACAAAATTCGAGTCTCAAGAGATTTTGGCAAGGATTTGACTAATGGAAGAAATGAAAAAAGAGAATGATGTGAAACAGATTAGGTTGCTAGGGTCATATCAACAAGAAACCACAGGAATGGGCTATAGGCTGGCAAAGAAGATTTAAATCAATCTACAGAGCAGTAAAAGTCAAGCCAACTTGTTTCTAAACCTCTCCCAGCACCAGTGAGGACTAGCACCTTGCTTAGTTTTCAAAGAGATCTCTGTCAGACACTTACTCGCAAGTGGTGCAAATTGGGCTGAAGCTGCAGAATACTGGAAAACGAAAGGAACAGACAAGTTTAGGCGGGCGAAGTCAAAGGTCACAGAAGTCAAGACAAATCTGAGAAACCCCATCAAATAAACCTTACTTGACAGGCACACGGAGCAGACGTAACCAATTTCGATGAGATTCCTGTGGCAGAAACAAGCTGCCCGGTAGTCGACATGGACAGGAGGTGGAAGGATGAGCCGAGATCTCTGTTCTTGGTCGGGCAGATACACCCACTGTAACGAAAGACAAACGAGAAGGCATCTAATAACTGAGAGCTCAGGAACGCGTCGAGCGTCTCCTCAATTGAAGAGCTTAAAGAACTCACCAGCAAATACTGCAGAAGAGAAGGCATATGGGGGACTTTCAGGTAGATACCGCCAGTAATGTCACAAGCCTGGAAAACATGACATTATCCTTTTGTTTTTAAGCAGCAATGTCATACCCTCATACAAAGGGCTGAATCCGCAATTCATCCAAAAGACACCCTCCCAGCCCAATCCCAGGTTATTTACCACTAAGATAGGGACAGACCCCATCTCCATTACTGCACAGGCACTCACATGCTGTATAAACAATCCTGCGTCATATAAACCAACAGTCTGACTCATCAGAAAGCTGTTTTTTTTCTGTGCATGATGCCTGCAAGCAGTTGGCCATGCCTTTATTAAAAATAAGTCAGTCCCCAGACCTCACCCCTGTAGAAATAAGGTTACAAATGTAAGGCTCCCTTGAGTCAACTGAGATCTTAAGCCTTATTTCCGTGTTTAGCCAAACACTGAAGCTTACAAATACTTCAAAAGTCCAAAGTGAGCCTCAAGATACTCAAACGGTGTGTTGAATCTTCACCTTTCTGAGGTCCCTCGAGATTGAACTTGTTGCCATTCCTCTTTTGGCCTCATGGGTGAAGCCAAAGGAAATCCGTCCTGCAATCACTTTTTGCAAGAAGCGGGCGGGAAAATCAAGTTACCCCATATCGTGCATAAAAGGACAGCGATTCACAGCTTTGGGCATTTTGTCCGAGCTGGAAAGTGACGGGAAAGCGACAAAAACACAGATCGTACCTGCTGCAAAAGCCCCGAATCAGAGTCCAACACGCAGGCGTCAATCAAAATATTCTGAAAGAAGGGGACAGGAGGAGAGAGTTGGAAAGA